GTGAGCACTCTGCCCCAACTTACCAATGCTGGCTGCACAGTGGACACCACCAGCTTGGCCGGGTTCATCGTGAAGTTGGCGCTTATGGTTCGCAGATTGGTGTTCACATGTGTGGTGAACGACCGGCGGCCGTCATTCCAGCGCACGCCGCTGGCAACAACTTCTGGGCCTTGCGTTCACTCAGCTCCAGCAGCACAGCAATCAACTGGCCGGGTTCATGAACTCTTTCCAAGTTGTCAAGGTCAGCGAAGTAGGTTGCCAGGAAAAGGCTCCTGTGCATCAACCAAGTTTTTCGAGGAGAACTCGACAATGCGAACAACTCTTACAAGCTAATGGTTTGGTTGGGGACCCGACTCACCCAGGCTTTACTTCCAGGACCATTCTTTCTGGAAACCGGTCAGAAAAAACCTTGGAGCTCGGACCCCCCCTTACGATGCAACAAGATAATAAGCACGCCTGCTTGACTGTGTGTTCGCTCGTCCCTGTCTGTGATAGCACCAGATCTCCAAGAGCAAGTAACCAGGAAACCACCAAGCCACTCTGCGATTGGCGAAACGGCTCTTGTTGATGGCCCCAAAAAGAAACCACCAAACACGGCGGCGGCCTTTGCAACTCTTATCAGATTATACAGCCACCGAACATGTGTCGAAACATGGCCATGACCGTGTGTCCTTGTTGCAACCACCACATTGAGCACCAGAGCCGCCATTCCGTAATGTTGCTGGGGAGTTCGCCACGCACGCAGAGTTTCCAGCAGCTTTTGCTTGAATGGGTCGGAATCGATGTAGTGGAGGCGAAGCTGTGTCGTCAAAGAAGAAATGGATGGACCATCCCCCCCCCCTGCCTTAGTGCAAGGGACGTAGGGGGGGGGGGGTCATTTTATTTTTTCAAGGCCCTGTGACCTGCAACGCAGACAATCGAGTCACCGGGCACACTGCCTCCTTCGCCGGGCCTTGCGCGCTCAAGTGTTGGTCCACCATGTCTGTAGCATGTGTTGGTCTTGATGCTATCAGCACATCCCTCCAGCTTGGTTTCCCGACAAGCCACGTATGCTGCGAGCAAGTAAATCAGAATCTCGCCCGGAGCTGCCAAATGCAAGTCGAGATCTCGGAAAAGAACGTTGATTGCAAGATTTTGCTATCCAACTGAGAAGGTGCTAAATACTGGCAACAAGATAGGAGGCAAGGTTTACAACAGCACTGCCAACAAGAAAGGGTGCTCGAACTAATTACAGTGATGCTACCAAGAGGAGACTAGAGGATGGGTGGCCCGGAAGCATGAGCAGCGCACGGCGCCAAGTAATCCTAGCAAGTTCTCTGCGCAAGTTCTCTGCGCAAGTTCCTCTGAGCAAGTTGTTGGCGCGAGTTCCTTTGAGCAAGTTCTCCAAGCAAGTTCTTGGTACAAATTATTTGGGCAAGTTCTCTCAGCAAGTTTCTCTGAACAAGTTTCAACGAGCAAGTTGTCTGAGCAAGCTCTCTGCGCGCAGCGCTTGCCGCTGCAACTTGCTAGCGCCACTTGCTGGTGCTACTTGCTAGTGCCACTGGCTAGCGCTACTGGCTCGTGCATCTCGCTAGCGCTATCTTGCTCGTGCTACTGGCTTGCGCCATTTTGCTAGTGGCATTTTGCCAGTGCAACTCGCTAGTGCTATCGCTAGTGCTACTTGCGAACGCAACTTGCTTGTGTCATCCGCTGGAGAGGTCTTTCCTGCAGCGCCGCTTCATACGATTTTGGCTAAGACGGTGGCTGACCCGCACAAGCCCTCTGGCCACTTGGCTGGGCTCTGCTGATGCGCCACAAGGCTGCAAACCGGTCAGTTAAGGCCACTTGGCTGGGTTGACCAAGAAGCGCGGCACTGGCTTCCAAAAAGCAGCTCAGTGTCCTGAGCAACGCAATCAGCCGGATGTCCCCGAATATTTGTTTGTCGAGAATACAGACACATTTAAGGCTCGACAGGGCTCTGCTGATGCGTCACAAGGATGCAAACCTGCGCTTGACCAAGAAGCGCGGCGCTGGCTTCCACAAAGCAGCTCAGTATCAGCCGGATGTCACGGTATTTGTTCAGCTGATGCCACAAGGCTGCAAACCTGCACTTGGCCAAGCATTTAAGGCTCGACAGAGCTCAGCTGATGCGCCACAAGGATGCAAACTTGCACTTGGCCAAGAAGTGCGGCACTGGCTTCCAAAGAGCGGGCCCCGGAGCAAGCGTCACAGCATCTGGCATCCGACCGCAGAGACTGGGAGACAAGCGGGAGACACGACCCCGGAGCCCGCGTCACAAAAAACGGGAGATGGGGGACACAGGGAGACAAGCAAGAGAAACAACCCCGGAGCCAGCGTCACAGCATCTGGCAACACAGGGAGACAAGCGGGAGACACGACCCCGGAGCCCGCGTCACAGCATCTGGCATCTGACCGCAGAGACTGGGAGACACAGGGAGACAAGCAGGAGACACGACCCTGGAGCCAGCGTCACAGCATCTGGCATCTGACCGGAGAGCTGGGAGACAGGAAGACAAGCGGAAAACAGGACCCCGGAACCGGCGTCACACTTTCCTATTCTCTATACCTCAAGTTAGAACCCCAATGCTTCGCTGTTTGGGGAAAAAAGGGTACTGCTTCTATACGGGTTTTGTACGGTTTTTGTAAGGAAGCAACACCATGCTCTTTAACCGACAACCTGTTTTGTGACGAGTAGCAGGTGCAAAATCCGGTTTTGCTGCCCACCCCACTTTCTTGTAGGTTCTTTGAGTAGCAGGTATACATAAATGTGCGCGTGTGCACACAGTCAAGTTGAGTACCGCCCGCGAGAAAAAACGACGAACCGCAACAACCACTCCGACCTGCTGAAACCTGCTTCTGCCAAATTCCGCCGATTTCCCGCCGAATTCCGCCGATTTCCTACTGCCGCCTTTCGCAAAAGACGATTTTGAAAGAAAACTGCCACGGAACTAAACACGCCGCCAACAGCAAACAGGCGCCTTTTTCCAAAAAGGCAGAAACTCCTTATGTCTATGATATATATATATATATACATGCATATCTAAATATGTGCGTTCAGCAGGTGACGCCCTGGACCTTGTGGGTTATGGCAAAGCAGACCATTTCTCTATCAGTGGCGCCTGTGTGTTGGGGTACTTCAGCCAAACAATGCCGCACCAGGTAGATGATTCCAGCTTATCTTCACAGATGCACTTGAGCATGGGGCCACGGCCCTTTTCGCATGTAGCGCGCACGCTAAAGGGTCATGCCACCCGCCAGTGCCCGCAGAGCATGTGTTCCAGGTATGCCTCTGAATAACTGCAGGGTTCCTTTGTTTGCACTATCACTAACATGGCTGAACCATTTTCCTTAATGGACCTTTTCTGGGATCTGTGTGCATGTTTTTCCACTTTGCGAGGACCAGAATCAATCATATGATTGACTGAGGGGCAAAGCATGAGGTCGTTTGACAGGCTTTGCATCTACTACCCGTACACTGCTAATACAGCCTTTATCCATTAGACTTCCGGGCCAGTGTGATGTGACACACACTCACAGAGCCATAGGACTGTGGAGCCGCAGGCCAAATGATGATTGTTAGTGACTAGTTGTAACCATGAGGCGCCATTAGGCCCATACCTGTCGGATTGAACAATGTCATTGGCCAATTTTGAGTAAGGCTTATGTAGGACCCTATGTAGGGAACCCTGCATCGCGCATGGCTGGATGGCAGAAGGGAAATAGAGTCGTGGACGCCTCGGCTCCGTAGGGTTTCGTTTTCATGTTGTTCGCCGTCAAAATGAGTAGCTTGCTGGATGGATGTAATAGGAAGCGAAACATTGTCTGTGGCAGTCAACACACACACACACACACTTTTAGTTACTTGGGGTTTGGATGGCCATATCCGATCTGAGAACAGGGTTACGGAGCCCCGACCCCAGCGAATGCTACAAGTTCTTTTTGTGACAGCCTTTCAAGGGTTGCTGGACATGGCCTTATCCAGGTTTTGTTTTCCCTTTGGCGTACATTTGCAACACCTTGAAGTGTCCGAAGGGAGCCTCTTTTCCCCACACTTGCTCACACACTCACGCCTGAAGAAATTGCTGTATATACGGCAAACAAGTCGCCATTTGCTCACGCTTGAATCAGCAGCCCAAGAGCAGTCCTTGACAGAGGTTTCAGATAGTTGGAAAAGGAGTGTGAGCTGCGGGTTACTAAAGGTTGTGTGGGTTACAAGGGCAAACGCCTGGACCCAAGTAAACTCCTTCAAAGTCGACCAGGGTGTTTGGGCTCGGGAGAGTTGCGCAAAATGAACATACTCAACCAGATTCATTATTTTACATTGTTTTAAGTGGGGAACCCTTCAAAATCGGCAAATGTCCAAGTTGTTTGGGGGTGTCCGAAAAAGAATAGCCGGCCAGGAAGCCCTCAGGTCCCATCCAGCTGATAGACTTCATCGTTTGGGGTCTCAAATCTGATTGGAATAGTTTAGGGTCGACGAAATGTAGAACCTATGTTGTCTGTTTTTGCGTAGAGATGTGGGCCGAGTTCAGCCGGGGCCTTTCTAGTCGGGATTTCTGTGGCACCTCCAGGGGCCTTTCTGACGTGATTCTTTCGAAGCTTTAAGCCACTGGCATAGGTTTGGCAAGCTTGTGCTGCATGCAAGTTTGGGAGGCACCAGCCTCCAACTCCATGCATTCAGATAACCCTTAGTTGGTGAATTGGCGGTTTGGGGATCGCCCCTGGTTTTTGGAGAGGGCACATGGGAAGCCAGCCCTAACCTCCAACCAGTTTGAGGGAGCTGATTCATGTTTGGTATCTTGCTTCAACGTGCTGGTGCTCAGAAGGGAATGAGGGAACGACCCTTACAAACTTAAAAACCATCCAACTGGTGATTTCCTTTCAGGGGACCAAAACCTGGGTTCATTCAACCACATTCCCTATCGTACCAGCAAGGTTTGCATTGCCTGGCTCGAGTCGAATTGAAATCTCGATCCGATTTTCGCCGTTGCGTGCGACCCATGGAGATGGCCTATTGGCCGAATCGTACCGTTCTGGCCCGCTTGAAGGCCGAAAGCCAACTTTGTGAGTCGGAGAAACTCAGGGATTCCAGATATATGGACTTCGGAGCTTTGACCAGTGATGAGTTTTTTGCAGATGTTTTTTCTAGAACCCTTCAAAGAACACTTTTGTAGATCTCTGCCAAGAACCTTATTTGCCTCGACAAGGTGCGCGGTACAGCTGTCCAGGCAGCCCCTTCAATTTCTGTCTCACCAAAGGTGTAGAAACCATGAATCATTTTGGAGGGTATCCCTCCATTTCCTCAGAAATGGAATCGGTCCAAAGGCAATCCATGGGTTGTGCGTCAAAATCGGCCTACCCAACCAACCAACAAACAGGACGAGTGTTTCGTTCTGGCCAGCGGAGGCCTGAATAACGCTCGTTTTTGAAACTTGGCCGATGCCTTTGCGGATCCCTAAGCTTTTTTTTCCTGCAACCTTGGAAATGTTCCTGGAGATCCTGGCTCAGTGTTCAGGATGAAGCACACTAGGCAAGGATACCTTTTCTTGTTCCTGCTGAGTCGCGTGGTGCAGAAACAGAAAGGCCTCGAGCCGAAGGGCATTAAGGTATGATTGCATGAAGGCCAACTGCAAAAACCAGGCACATGTTTTTTGACCTTTAGCATCTACTTGCTTTATTTTCTGGGCCTGCGGCCTCTAGCCGGCTACGCCTCTTTGAAGTTATACCACGTCATGTCATGTTTTGTGCATGAGAAACGTATCCTGTGCTATGATATGGCTATGTTGCCCACCTTAACCCCAGATAATGCTGGGGATGCCGGCTTTCTGGGCCCCAGCCGGGCCCCAACCCAGAAGGCTGACATGGGGTCGCGCGCGCGCCAGAGGACCCCAAAAAAGCAGCCGAAAAAGAGCAGCCCGCAAGCCAGCCCGGAAACGCAAACGCAACAAAACACCGTAAATAGCAGCGTTTTGTGGCTGGGGTCGAGCGCGCGCGCGCGCGCGCCAAAAAGCCCGAAAACCAACGGGAAAAAAGCAAGGACTGCGCAGCGCGCGAGCCAGCCACAGCAAGAGCAGAACGGACAGAACAACAGCCCAACGCTCAGCGCAGCAGTTTTTTGCGGTATTTACAGCGTTTTGGAGAGCGAGGACCCAGCATCACCGGCATGCCCGGCAGCCCTTGTCGCCAAAATGCGCAAAAATGAGCCTCGCTTATACCCCTCCGACACCTTCTTAAAAACAGTGCTTTTTGGGTTGAGAGGCTTTTTAAAAGGAAGTCTTGATGATGCAGGCCAAGCCCCGCTGAAGCATCGCCCAGGCCCAACCCCAGACCCTGACAATGTCAGCCACATGGCCTAAACCCTGCATATACGCGACGTTTTGCGAGGGTTTCCCACAGGCAAGCAAAACCGCAAGCCGGAGCTGGTGATGCAGAGGTGCCGGATTTAGGCAGCGCATCACGACCAAGTGGCGAGGGTCGGCGGCACCAGGGTGCCGGCTAATTGCTTAGCGGCGACATGCTACCCCAAGGAGGCGTAGCCGGATTAACCAGGCTCCCGCCTGCTGCCGCCGACCCTCGACGCATTAAGGGAAAAGTCACAAGGACCGGTCCTGAAACACGTCCGCAAACCCAAGGACCACTTATAAGATTTTCTACGACCACAAACAAGGATTAACGGACAAATCAGAAATATGGCAGCTAGTCCGTTAATTGCCGCTTGGGCCGGCTTGCGCCCAAGTCACTTCGAGTTGGCCCGGGAGCAGTCGCCTGTCCCGGGCCCTGAAACTGGCCCTCCCGAAACTTCCCCGGCGACAGTGGCCCTGGTGGCCCTGGACCGGTCGCCGGCAGGGACCGGACTTGGGACCCTGTCCAGGCTGGTCTGAGTCTGGCGCGGTTTGACTCGACGTATTGGACTCTCTTGCAGATTAGATCCAGGGATCCTCTACTACCACACAAGGATTAGCGGAAAAGTCAGACAGACGGCAGCTCGTCCGTCAATGACCGCACGGGCCGGCTCGCGCCCAAGTCACGTTGAGCTGGTCCTAGAAACAAGGCCGTCGGTGCCCCTCAACCGGTCGTAGGGAGGGACTGGGACTGACTTGGGTTTCTGCAGCGGTTTGAGGTGTACCAGCAGGACTCGATCCTAGTCCCAGGACCAGCAGTCCCAGAACCAGTCTCAGGACCAGTCAAGGGGTCTCGAGACTGGTCCCAGACTGTCCTGTCCCAGAACCGGTCCGAAGCTGTCCCGGGACCGGTCCTAAGAATCCACTTTTTGTGCTTTCGGGCGTGCCCCCGACTATCATTGATTCCAATCACTTCCAGTTGCATCCCACGCCAGTCCCCTCTGCAGGAGGCTGGGACGGGAGGCAGACTGTTGACTCTGTTTTTCTCGAGTCTTGAAAATGCTCTGATTCGTATTCGTAGACATGATGCAAAAAGAGACACGCAGGAAGTGTCTTCGGCGGTGTGAAACTGACCTCACCTCATTCGAATACTCCATGAAAGGAGGAGGCATCATATAGAGGACTCACGGAAACGGCAATGATCGAGGTGGCATTGGCCGGCTGTCTGTCTCGTAGTTTTTGTTTTTTTCCCCACATCTTTGTGTGGGGTTCTTACTTTTTCCGCTCGTCGTCCGCGCGCCGCGTCTCCTCCTCCTTCTCCCGCTCGTCTCCGTCTCACTCACTCACTCACTCACTCACTCACTCACTCACTCACTCTCACTCACTCACTCACACTCACTCACTCACTCACTCACTCACTCACACTCACTCACTCACACTCAGTCACTCACACTCACTCACACTCACTCACACTCACTCACTCACACTCAGTCACTCACACTCACTCACACTCACTCACTCACACTCACTCACTCACTCACTCACTCACGCTCACTCACACTCACTCACTCACACTCACTCTCATTCACTCACTCTCATTCACTCACTCACTCACTCACTCGCTCACTCACTCACTCACACTCGCTGACTCACGGCAGCTGTCTAGAGGGACAGGATGTTGTCGCGCGCGCGGCGGGGGGTGTGCGAAATCGTGGCAGGCGCAGCACTTTGGCGATGCCGTTGCGAAATCGTGGCAGGCGCAGCACTTTGGCGATGCCGTTGCCGAAGTCGTGGCAGGCGCAGCATTCTGTGCATCTGGGTGTGTGTTTGTGTGGCAGGGGTCGCATTCGGCAGCTGTCTAGAGGGACAGGATGTTGTCGCGCGCGCGGCGGGGGGTGTGCGAAATCGTGGCAGGCGCAGCACTTTGGCGATGCCGTTGCGAAATTGTGGCAGGCGCAGCACTTTGGCGATGCCGTTGCCGAAGTCGTGGCAGGCGCAGCATTCTGTGCATCTGGGTGTGTGTTTGTGTGGCAGGGGTCGCATTCGGCAGCTGTCTAGAGGGACAGGATGTTGTCGCGCGCGCGGCGGGGGGTGTGCGAAATCGTGGCAGGCGCAGCACTTTGGCGATGCCGTTGCGAAATCGTGGCAGGCGCAGCACTTTGGCGATGCCGTTGCCGAAGTCGTGGCAGGCGCAGCATTCTGTGCATCTGGGTGTGTGTTTGTGTGGCAGGGGTCGCATTCGGCAGCTGTCTAGAGGGACAGGATGTTGTCGCGCGCGCGGCGGGGGGTGTGCGAAATCGTGGCAGGCGCAGCACTTTGGCGATGCCGTTGCGAAATCGTGGCAGGCGCAGCACTTTGGCGATGCCGTTGCCGAAGTCGTGGCAGGCGCAGCATTCTGTGCATCTGGGTGTGTGTTTGTGTGGCAGGGGTCGCATTCGGCAGCTGTCTAGAGGGACAGGATGTTGTCGCGCGCGCGGCGGGGGGCGTGCGAAATCGTGGCAGGCGCAGCACTTTGGCGATGCCGTTGCGAAATCGTGGCAGGCGCAGCACTTTGGCGATGCCGTTGCCGAAGTCGTGGCAGGCGCAGCATTCTGTGCATCTGGGTGTGTGTTTGTGTGGCAGGGGTCGCATTCGGCAGCTGTCTAGAGGGACAGGATGTTGTCGCGCGCGCGGCGGGGGGCGTGCGAAAATCGTGGCAGGCGCAGCACTTTGGCGATGCCGTTGCGAAATCGTGGCAGGCGCAGCACTTTGGCGATGCCGTTGCCGAAGTCGTGGCAGGCGCAGCATTCTGTGCATCTGGGTGTGTGTTTGTGTGGCAGGGGTCGCATTCGGCAGCTGTCTAGAGGGACAGGATGTTGTCGCGCGCGCGGCGGGGGGCGTGCGAAATCGTGGCAGGCGCAGCACTTTGGCGATGCCGTTGCGAAATCGTGGCAGGCGCAGCACTTTGGCGATGCCGTTGCCGAAGTCGTGGCAGGCGCAGCATTCTGTGCATCTGGGTGTGTGTTTGTGTGGCAGGGGTCGCATTCGGCAGCTGTCTAGAGGGACAGGATGTTGTCGCGCGCGCGGCGGGGGGCGTGCGAAATCGTGGCAGGCGCAGCACTTTGGCGATGCCGTTGCGAAATCGTGGCAGGCGCAGCACTTTGGCGATGCCGTTGCCGAAGTCGTGGCAGGCGCAGCATTCTGTGCATCTGGGTGTGTGTTTGTGTGGCAGGGGTCGCATTCGGCAGCTGTCTAGAGGGACAGGATGTTGTCGCGCGCGCGGCGGGGGGTGTGCGAAATCGTGGCAGGCGCAGCACTTTGGCGATGCCGTTGCGAAA